GTTTACAATGTTTTTTTGTTTTGTTTTTTCTTGTGGCAACACCTGGCTGTGCTCAGGGCTTACTCCTACCTCTAAATTCCGGGATCACTTCTGGTGGGGTTTAGGGAACCAGATGCAGAATAGCCGTGGGTTGGCTTCGCATCAGGCAAGCAACACCTTACCTGCCAGACTCTCTTTCTGGCTCTGATGGTTGGTCTTTTGATATTGCATTCACACCATTCAGTCAGTCATTGGAATGCAGTTTGGGATTGGAAGTTCTAACTGGGTTGAACTGCACTGAAAGCAGAGCTAGCAATTTCTGCATTAAGTAGACGACTGTTCTGAGGCCGTGGATGAGAAAGTTTGGAGAAGGAAGAGAGTGGAGGTGTTGTGAGACACTGGGTGGTTATGACGACCTTTCACATGAGGCATACCGTGGGCCTCCGTTTTGTAATGGCAAGATACAAGGACTTTTCATGACACATGAAAAGTCAACTGGACTTTCAAATTTTGACAAGTGATAATCAGAGAGGACTCTGACGATGATGACGCAGATGCGGATGTGACACAATCAGTTGGCCAGGTTCAGAGAAAACGAAATCGAGGAGAGAAAGATGATGTATTTGGCTTTTGCATGATGCCTTTGAAGCACTATTCAGAGAACGTCGATCAGACATTGATGTGGACGTCACTGTAGAGAGGTGACGTTGGAAAGCCTGCAAGTGGAGATTAAAGTGCTCTCAAAGAAAAGTCCTGATGGAAAAGAGCAAAAGGTAAAGGTAAAGGCCCTCCCGTTGTTCATCGATTTGCTCGAGCGGGCCCAGTAACGTCTCCATTGGAGATTTTGTTGTTACTGTGTTTGGTATATTGAATACATCACGGGTAAAGAGCAAGAGACAAAAATCTGGGTGTCATCTACCTCCTTCGGGGAGGAGCAGACAGAGAAGTGGGGAACAGAGAAAACAAATCACTGTGGTCAGAGGACAGCAGGTGTGAGGAAAAGCACCGAGTTTCAAACACAGCACGGCACAAAAGGAATAAGGATCAAGCAGGGCCTCTCAGCTAGATCCACCCACACGGACAGCCAGTGACATGGACAGACAGTTGCCCAGAGAAACAGCATGGAGAGTCCACAGCATGGGTCAGAAGCAGAGAGATCAGACCGGGACTGGAATAGTCACTGTGCTTTTTGGTGATTATCATTGTTACCATCTTAGTAGTTTCACTGCACTTCACTCACAGTGAGAAAACACGTGAGATATTATTTCTACAGGCAACGTAATCTGCCCACTTGCTATGACTTTTGAGGGATGAAGCTGGAACTGAAGTTCAGCCTGACTGCAGCCCCCAAGCTCCTTCTTGAGCCTGCCCTGTGATTCCAGAGGCCACGCGAGACATGAACTAAATACTGTTTATCAATAGGAGAGCTACAGGGCTATATTTTATTTTTTTTTAAAGTAGGAAATACAGTGCTTATTATAGAATTAGTTTAATAACACAGAAGGTATCAAGAATACAGAGGGTGGAGTGCCAAATGTGTCTAACTACTAGCACTGCCACGCTAAGTCATACGTTGCTCTGAGTTATCATATTTCCTTGGTTATAGTCCCTGAGGGGGCACAGAAGTCAGACACTGTAGATGGTGCTTTGTAATCTACTTTTTGTTTGTTTTTTTTGGGTACACACTTAGTGGTGTTCAGGGCTTACTCTGAGGCTCTGTGCTCGGGGACCATATGTGGTGCCAGGGATTTCAATTGGGGTCAAATACAGGCCAGGCAAGTGACATACCTCACAACCTACTATTAACATTGAAGAAAAAGGATAGAATCTCAGATTACCACTTGTGTATTGCTTTGAACAAATGGATTAATCTTCTGGGTGAAAATTTTCTCAAATTTAGAATGATGCTGATATTGGTGGTGGTGCTGAGAATAACATAACAACATCCACTGTATGGATCAGAGGGAGGATTGAAATAGATAATAAGTGCAAAGGACCTAAGATATTTAAAGAGCTATGTTTCATTTATCACAGAGCTTTCAGAGCCATAATTTCAAATCAACACAATATTTCATTGAACTGACATGTGAATGTTACAGATATGATCTCTTACTCTTAAACATTAAAATTTCCAATTCTCAGGATTATAGTCTTTGGTGAACAAGTTAATACTTAAGGTTTCTTCCAGATTTAAGATCATGTCTGTAGGACAGAGTAAAGAAGCAAGATTACTGGATAAAATGCATGTCTAAGTAATGTTTTTAATCCAAATTCTTAATTGTATCCTAGAGAAAAAGTACTATCTCTCTGGTCTCTAGGGTTTTTTTTCGGGGGGATTGTATGGGGGGTATACCCAACATGTGCGACTTCCTTCCAAACGCTGTCTTTATATTTAACTGTCAAATTCTTGGCAGGTTTTGTGCGATCACTCTTTATAAATGCATTTCCGGTCCCATTTCAGCTACCACCCCTTTTTCTGCTTTACTTTTTTCCTGTGTCATCTATCTTTGGTCTCACTGATTACTATTTTCCTCACTCTTGTATGCTTTGGGCTCTACTATATTTCCTGGCATGTACAGGCATGCAATTACGTATAATTCTTTTCTTTTGTTATTATTATTATTTTTTTCTGCTATAGAAAGAGGTGTTTGGTCAGGGTATAAAGAATTTAAAGCTCAGTGGAAAGATTCTGGAGGGCAGTTGAGGGAAAAAAGCAAAATGGGAAAGTTCAAAATAAAGGGGGGGGAGTTAGATGCACAAATGAACTTTTCGGATGGAATCTAGAGAAATGGGCCTCAGGTGCCTCGTCAGCACAATCGGATTTGGCTCCCAGGCTGCGGAGCCCTGCGACGGTAGGCTGAAAAACCCCTGGAATAGGAGAGTTAGGAGAGACACCACCGTCCTCTGCCTCAGCTAGGCTGAGAGGGATTTAAATTATTCACCGCAACAAAGACACAGTCCATTGAACTCACTTATGCTAACAGGTGATACGCACAGTCCAGGAATGTGGAAAAGGGCAGGTAAGAGAGATGGAAGCAAATCCTTTCCCAGAAAAGAGCAAAACAGAATTAGGTTTCCCATCCGAATGATTTAAAATAGGATATGCCAACATTTCCATTAATAAAATCCACTAGTATTATATTTTATTGAACTGACATGTGAATGTTATGGATATGGTTATGAGATGATATCTTACTTTTAAACATGATTTCCAATTCTCAGGATCACAGTCTTTGGCGAATAAATATTAGTATTAGTGTTATGTTTCTGAGTGACTTCTGGTGGTGCTCAGGGCTTACTCGTGGCTCTGTGCTCAGGAATCACTCCTGGCGGGCTCAGGGGAACATGTGGTGGTGGGGATTGAACCCAAGTCAGCTACGTGCAAGGTAAGAGCCCTGGCTGTTGTTCTACGCCACCAGAACACATATTCTAAAGAGAAACTATATATACTTTTCCAATTCTATTTGTTAGTACATGAAGCCAACTTAATATACTATTCCAAGAGGAAGAAAGGCATGAATGTGAGGACTTATGGGGAACAAAGAGCTTCCGAGAAATAACTACGCTCTTTCTTAGTCAACTTTCAGATTTTTTAGTCACTGCAATTCTCTTTGGCAGATAAGCAAAGAGATTAGTCCATGTAGAGAACTGAGAAGTTAGTATCATTCATTTACAGGTGCAATTTTCTCAAAAATAAGAAAGAATGTTAAAAAAAAAACACATACAAAACCCAGTTTACATGCAACAGTTCTAAAGTTGAAATGCTTTGAGACCTGACTGATGATGCTGTACCCTGGCTGGCTACTTCTCTCCCAGCTCCTCAAGTTACTTGCAGGAACAGGGCTTGAAGAAACTCAGGGATGAGACGAAATAGATTTTCCCCCAGATTAATATTTTCATATATTTAGATTAGGACAAAATCAGAAATCTTCTTTGAGCACAGGAGAAGCTGGCAATCGGGTGATCCAGGGGCCAGAGCGATTTTGTCTCCAGCACAAATGACGCTTGCCTTCACGAGGTCACCCTGGGTTCGATCCCCAACATCCTGTGTGATCCCTGGGACCCCACCAGGAGTGATTCCTGAGTGCAGTCTTGAGTAACCCCTGAGTATCGCTGCGTGTGGCCCAAAAATTAACTAAAAAAAAAACCCCCACAGAACTTTTGTTTACTTCTGGAAAATTCAACATGTAGCTGAAAATTGGTCAGAGATAGGGGAGATGAAAGATGTTACACAATCTACAGGAATAGCGGATATCACCTGCATTTATTGGGCACTCTAGTGCATATCACGAATTTCAACTTCAGCTACCTTTTCTTATTACTGAGAGAATTTGTAGACAGAATTTGGTTCTCATTCCCGCCCCCCCCCAAGAGAAACTAAAGCATATATGAAGAAGGATGCAGTACTAGTAGTTAAAGTAAATCATCTGTAAGAACTTATATATCAAATTAGTGATTCAGGACTCGGGTCCATAGCAACTGTGTAGAGTAACTTTTTATTTGTTTCTGATTTATTTAGAATAAAATACTTTATAAATTAGAGTCAAACTGTATCTCTGAATAAGAAGTTTCTAAACACAAAGATAACTGGTCTTTTCCAAATATTTTCCCATTACCTTACTTTGGGATTGTTCATTAATTCTTTTTCACATGTTCATGCAAGCAAGGTCAAATAGGATGGAGAAAATAGCAAAAATCCTCGATTGACAATTTTACTATAATAACAAATATTAGAAATGCATAAAAGAATGAGATGATCAAACCAATTCGAGGGACAGGGAAATTGAAGTGAGGGCTGTCCCCAGTTCTCTGGAAGAATATGTTTCTCAGCCTTAACTTTATATATATATATATAAAGGAAACACAAATAGACATACTCCAAGGTCTCAGAACTTATACTATAAATCTGTGAAAAAAATACTGAAACTCTATATTTTTTGTCTTTCACGAAACAAAGGAGAAAGAGATGTGAACTTTCTTAACTGGCTACACATAGACATTGTATAGGATTATTCACTTACCACAAGACCTTCTTGATTTTCATTGAGCTCAGAAAGTTTGGTACTGGATTTCTGATGTTTATATTTGCTTCCTTCTTCAATATGCCCAGAAGTATTTTCATGGAATATTTCCACTGCCTGAGTATTCAAAATACAATCACCAAGATTGCTGAACCCAGGCGAAGTATTTTCTTTGTTGAGAAGTCCCCTTGAATTAAAAAAAAAAACAAAAACATTTAATTTTATTTCATAAGGAAAAAAGAGGACATGTTAATAACAACAAATCACATGAAAACTCATAAGCAAGCCCTGAAATTCTAGCTTGCATCTTTGATCCAACTATGAACAGAGTGCTACTTCATGCCAAATAAATCGCATTAATAGATCATTTATTCCTAGAGGCAATTGGCAAAGGCTGTGTTCTGACCAATGAACAGCTTTAGTATTTGTATCCCAAAGAATTTATATTCAAACACGAAGAAAACTGCATGTTGACAAAGAAATTTCCAATTACTGACATTACATAGAGACATATACTAACACTGTACTCATAAATCTTATAAATTAATAAATGAAAATTGAAGAGGAAAGACAGGGACGTTTTCTCTAGAACAGGACATTGTGATTTTCCCAAATGATCGATGTTTTTGTAGAATAGAAATGCACGAATACCTAAATACGCATTGGATAATCTTAGTAGAAATAGTTTATTAATAAAAAATACTATGTAAGATGAAGTATCTTAGCTGAAATATGGATTTATTATTTCCCAGTACTGAGTTTCACGATGTAACCTTATAATTGGAAGTTTTTCATGACTTAGGGTTTGAAATAGACTTGAGGGCCAGAGAGATAATAAAGCAGGTAGGGCATTTGCCTTGTGTGTGTTCAATCTAGGTTCAATCCCAACATCATATAGGTCACCGCGATCCTGTGTGTGTATGTGGGGGGGGGTATCCCTGACATTAGAGCCAGGAGCAAGCCTTGAGCACTGCTGGGTGTCACTCAAACACAAAAACAAAAAACAAAACAAAACAAATGGCCTTAAATTTCATGATTATGAGCTTGATGGATTTAATGTACTTTGATTCATCTACATTGTAAACATTTCCTTTTTATTATACCATGGAGTAAAAGCAGAATATATATATTCTTCCTCTTGGAGAGCCCGGCAAGCTACCAAAAGTAGCACGGCAAAGCCTGGCAAGCTACCCGTGACGTATTCGATATGCTAAACACAGTAACAATAAGTCTTACGGTGGAGACGTTACTGGGCCCACTCGAGCAAATCGAGCAAAAGCAGTGCTCCATATATTTGCTAATATACGAAGGAATAACATTTTGACTTTCCTGTTATAACCCTAACAGCAGCAAAATAAGTGAGTTTTAATAAGTAAAAGCTGATGATCCTTTGACTACAATTTAATAGCATCCAAAAATAAAAGACAGTATTAAATACTTATTCTTCAACCTATTTCATATTCCTTTTTTTGGCTATATTGAAGGCAAAATTATGAATTAAATATTACCAGAATATTTTTAAAAAAAAAATAGCCAAATTTTTGGGGGATATTTTTCCCTCATGCTCAGTGAAGAACTTATTTCTGGGCCTGTTCTCTGGGGTCATTCCAGGCGGGACTCGGAGAACCTTACGGGGTGCTGGAGATTTGAACCAGGATTACATGGAAGGGAAGTGTCTGACCCATGGGGCTATCTCTCCGGTCCCTGAAATAATCTGGAAAGACAATTTTATGATCTTTTAAAATCTTTTAGAACTGAATGAGTAGAATAAAGTCTATCAAAATAAATACATGCAATCGAGCATGTGGTCATGAGCATGTGGAAATATGGTTTTTCCAGGCGGGTCTCTGCTAACCTATTGGTGGTGTCTCCTGTCCAAACTCCAACCAGGCCCGAGGCGGGAGCCAACCTGGAGTGCCATCTCTCGGCTCTCTTTAACCATCTCTACCTTATTTCTGGTTTTCACTTTCCAGTGTTTTCTCTTTACCACTTTCTTTACCTAAACATACACATACTGAATGCTTGAGAAATACCGAGAGATTTATTGATTCCTGATAAAAATCTGTTCTTCTAGCTTACCACGCAGTACACATTTGATATACGTATATAATAAAAAATTTTTATGATTTTCTAGCTTACTGTCTTTTGACATATGGAATTACTTCCATATAAAAAAGAATGTATTTTAAAAAAAATTCACTTTGACGCTTTCAAACGTGAAGAAAAAAAATTCAGGAGATCATCACAAAATAAACCTTCAGCCATTTACCACCAAGATTAATAACATTGCCACAAACCCTTCTAAATTAATTTATTATTAAACAGAACTCTTTTATGTAAAAAAATATATATTCTTAAAAATACTTTTGTTTGGGGCTGGAGCAATAGTACAGCGGGTAGGGCATTTGCCTTGCATGCCGCCAACCTAGGTTCGATTCTCATCATCCCATATGGTCCCCCGAGCACGGCCAAGAGTAACTCCTGAGTGCATGAACCAGGTGTAACTCCTGTGCGTCGCCGGGTGTGACCCAAAAAACAAAAACAAAAAAAAATAAAAAAACTTTTGTTTGTTTTCCTTTTGGGCTACACCCAGATGTGCTTAGGCTCTGTGTTCAGGGATCACTCCTGGTGGGATTCAGGGGGACAATATGGGGCACCAGAATCGATCCTGGGTCGACCAACTATCTATTGCTATGGCCCCAGTTGTAGATGTTTTGTTCACTGGTTGTAGCTTTAAGTTTTTATAGCCAAAATATTAGAAGTCACTATTATTAAACTATACAATTTAATAATATACTACAACACAAAATATTATCTATTTTGGTGGGAGCTTCCTCCATGGGGGCCATGCCCAGCAATGCTCAGGGCTTACTTCTGGCTTCGTGCTCAGGGATCACTTCCTATGGTACTCAAAGACTCGACATAGTGCTGGGAATCAAACCAGAGTTGGCCGCATGGGTGACAAGAGCCTTGCTTGTGGTGTTCTCTCTGCCCCTATTTTAATATTTCAGAGTCTGCATCAACTTAACTGATTTTTTTAAAAAAAAAAGTTTTAGGAGAGTACCAATAGAATTATGTAAAATACTAACTATCTCAAAGCATGTTTTCTGTTCCCTGAAAAGAGAAGAACAAGATTCCTCCACCATGAGCATCTCAACACAAAGCACCCGAGGCGTGGGGGTGCGAGTGTTGGTGATTGATGCAGGTGCAGGTTCCGTAAAGGAGAAGCAGGAAGCGCCAAGGAGCGACGCCAAGCCCACTCACAGGTCTGGGTCCGGTGGAGCTTCGTCTCTCTGCATGCACAGACGCCGTCGCTGTCTGGCGGATGTGCTGGAAGATGCTGAGGAGGGTCGAGGCTCTGAGGCTTCTGAGCTTTGGCCTCCAGGGCCACTGACATCAAAAAGATGCTGCTCGACGGCTGACCGGATGGTTCTTTCTAGAAGTCTGGACAAAAGGAACACAGAGACGATTAAAAAACAAACAAACAAACAAAAAAACCCCTAAACCAGTTTATCAACGGTTTTCTTTTCTTTTCTTTTTTTAAACAAGTGCCCATAATTTTGGAAATATTAATATATATATATTTTTTTTTCTTTTTGGGTCACACCTGGCGACGCACAGAGGTTACTCCTAGCTCTGCACTCAGGAGTTACTCCTGGCGGTGCTCAGGGGACCATATGGGATGCTGGGAATCGAACCCGGGCCGGCTGCGTGCAAGGCAAACACCTACCCGCTGTGCTATCGCTCCAGCCCCGATATTAATATTGTTAATGGAAGCCCTACTGCAGCTTGTGCAGAGATGAGAGATGAGGCCTTGTTTGCGTCACGAGTTAAAAACTAAACCATACAGTTTCCACCAATTTTATACCCATGTTTCTCATCATCCTGAGTCCAGGATTATTGAAATGCTCATAGTAAATCTAGCAATAATTATAGGAGGAATTCAGGAAATAGAGGTCATTCACTATCAGGCAGAATGAGGAGAGCTTACTTCCCTCATAAAGTAAGAATGGATCTATTCTTACAAAGCCGACCTTCCTCCAGTCTCATACCAGTTCGACAGAGAGGGAGAGCATAATTTACAAAGCAAATGGGCACAAGTAATTTCATGATACCTACTATCTATTTAGATCCTTTACAGATAAAATTGCATAGGAATAATGGTACTGAACAACCCATTTTATCAGAGCGATCATATAACAGAATGGAAATTTTTCCAAACCTTTATTCAATTAAATTATGCCATAAATGACTAAAGTTGTATTCTTGAAAATATTCAAATATTCAAACATATGTGTATTATGTATCACAATCACGATCACGACCATCCTGTTATTCGTCGATTGCCTCGAGCAGGCCCCAGTAACGTCTCCTTCATCCTAGCCCTGAGATTATACTCAAGGCTCTTTAGGAGAATGAGACCCATCATTGTTACTGGTATTTGGCATTTTGGGTACACTATGGGGAATTCGCCAGACTCTGCCGAGTTGTATTATGTATGTGCATATATATATATATATATCCGAATTAAGAAGAATAGATTTTTTTTTGCATACTCTGAGTAAAATAGGTAAGCCTAGGTTATACATGTAAGACAGAGATGGTAGCATTTTTAAAAGTATAGAATCTTTCAACATGTCTAATCTTTCTTTTATCATTGCACTATTTAATGCTAAACAAGCTATCATGTAAAATTCTAAACATCTCAAATTATGTTTTCTGTTCCTTGAAAAGAGAATAACAATCAGGAGTCAAACTGTATACATTAAATATGTAGGATTTTTTTGTATCACTTATATCTCAATAAAGCTGACAAAAATGGGTCTTGAAAATTTAATAACTCCATTTTTTCTAAAGATCATTGTATAACAGAGATGAATTAGTTTAAAAGTATTTTAAAACAACGAGCAAGTCTAGTTCAACAGAAGCATTTAAAACTCTTCCTCGAGGTGTTTTCAACATTAGCACAGGGAATGAGTAAATTAACACAGACATAAAGACCCATCCTACAACTTTTTAAAACTACCCAGACATATAAGTGAAAATTATTAGGAAACAAATACACAAATACACAACCTTGATGCAATCCTGGAATCTCTCCAGAGTTTACAGAGCTACGAGAGGTCAATCTGATTGCTTTGTCACTTCACAAATTAGGAAACAGAGCCCCACCATACAAAAGTGCTAGTTCTAGATTCATCGCAGTCAAGGCTTCTATTTTTTTCTTTCTTCCTTCTTGTCACGACCCCTCCACCCCATCTGATTCCTGCTGATGAAACATGTCCCCGAAGGCTCACACACAGGGCTTGGGAGAAGTCGCAAAGGGCAAAGCATGCAGAAGGCCTAGCACTGTGTGGCATCTTAGCATCCCAAGGAATGATGGGAAAATCTTTGGACAAGGACGTTTTCACGAATACTTGGTGTAGCATGCAGGATATAGGCATGAGGGCTGTGAAAACAAAACGAATGATAAGGTCCTATATTTATGGCGTTTATGGCACTGCTGTGAAGCAAAAAAAAAAAAAAGCACACACAAGTCACGAATTCTCAGAGATGGGTTGATTGCATCAAATCAAGCCTGAGGACAGCAGCAGTGGGTGGTCAAGGATAGCTTCTCGGGGGAAGATGAGATTTGAACAAATGCTAAAACGCTACCACATGTGAGAAGAACCGACGCAAGGCTGCTGACCTATTCCAGAAATAGGGTCATGTGGCCCAAATCTGAGGAACGATTCGGTCAGAAAGGTGCATGAGGGCAGGTCAGTGGGCGTTTCGATTTTAGTCCAGGTTTGGTTAGTGGCCTTCAAAGGTCAAAGGGCCATGAGTACACAAACTCATAAAGGCCGCCCTTGCCCTGAGCTAAACCAACTGGCCACACAGCTGACTTGTTTTGTTTGTGTGTGAGCGTTCCTCTTAGACTTCAAGATCCCCGCGGGCAGAACACGAAGCTGATCTGACAGGAAGCCTTTCCGCTGCTACGTGTGACACTTTGCTGGGTAAATGCAGGCTGAACTAAGTCAAAGAAACAGAGACCCAGATAACTCCTTGACCTTTAATGGAGTCACCTTCCAAAGCAAGATAACTCCAAAAGTACCCAGAATGTTTTGCAAATAGGAATTGGCCCTGACATTTATTTTTACTGAAATTTTCTGACATTTCATTCTTCTTACTGAAATCAATGAAAATCTCAGACATTCAAATGACTACTACGGCGTCACTCGCTCACCCGCACTGGAAAACTCACATCAGAACATTAAGTTTCCCCATAAGAAAATGATCAATTTTAACGGAAAAAACTTTTCAGGGCTGTGAACATTGCTCTTTTAGTTTGTGTAGTTTTTAAAAAAATAAACATTAGGGGCTGGAGCCATAGTACAGCGGGTAGGGCGTTTGCCTTGCACGCGGCCGACCTGGGTTCGATTCCCAGCATCCCATATGGTCCCCTGAGCACTGCCAGGAGTAACTCCTGAGTGCAGAGCCAGGAGAAACTCCTGTGCATTGCCGAGTGTGACCCGAAAAACAAAACAAAACAAAAAAAAGCATTAGCTGTTTGTTGCCTCAAGATCCAATAGAATGTACCACGACTGCATAGCGTCCTCCGGTGTCATAAAGGAGACAAAAAGGAAAGGAAAGAACAATGCAAGGCACTTACTCTCCACTGGCTGACACACTGCCCACTTGGGACACGCGAGCACTGTGGGAAAAAGAGCAGAGGGAAGGGCAGTTAGGTTAGACGAGGAACCAGACCCCACACATCTGGCTGAAAGCGTTAGCCCCAACTGACCCCTTTCGAGATCCTTGGTTCTAGGAGGAGTGACCCTAGAACACTGGCTTTTTCTCGTTTTCGACGATGTCCATGACAAACGGTCTCACCAGCGACATTTGGGCATCATCTCTGCCCCTCCAGCTACTGTCATGTCCTGCCTAGGGTCTTCTCGTTTTCCCAGATGTTAATGTGGTCGTTCCAGTTACCACCTCCTGTTCCTGCTCAGCCGCCCTCCCCCAGGGGACAGAGAGAGATGGAGAGCATCTTTCTAACGCTATTCTGAACCCGCGGGGAACAGCAAGGAACAAGAGGGCTAAACATGAGGGACTAACCTTGCCTTCTACACATCTAGTTCCAAAATCCCCTCCCCCCCCCCTTTTTTGGGGGGGGAGCTACACCCAGTGGTGCTCAGGGCCAACTCCTTTCTCTGTGCTCACGGGTCAAAGCATCTGCATACACCAAGGCGAGTATCCCTTGGCCCCAGTACCGTCTCTGTAACCATCTAAGTCATGCATTCCTCTTAGATTCCTTGACATGAAAATCATCTTAAGTTCTACGAAACTTCTTGGTTGATCTTACAAGAAATCAACGGCTCTTCCATGAAGTATTTGGAAATTTCCTCTGCCTCTGCGTCTTAAAGCCTGAATTCCTTGGAAAGTAATTCAAAGTGCCAGCCTAAATGGAGAGCTTTGGAGCACTGTCCCATGAGCCTCCCTTAGAGGCCGTTCCATTCTGCCTGCCTCCGTGCTCCTAGAACAAGGTGGAGGGCTACAGCTGCTCTTCTACCTGTGACCCTATCTGTAATTCTCACATTTTTGTTCCTCTCAAGTGCTTAGTTTATTTCCAAGTCAAGATTGGAAAGCACGCTTAAAAAAAATGAAATCTGGAATACCTCTTTAGGGCACATACAACTATATAGCTTTACCAAATAACTATAATAATTATCCTCTTTCTCTTTCTTCTTTATAGAAGATACCTGTACAAAATAAGAATTGCTCCCAGTGGAGTAAAGAGATGAGAAAAGATAATAAAATATAATAAAAATATAAATAATAGATAATAAAAATATAATAATAAAATTAAAATAAAAATTAAAAGATAATAAAAAATATAAATAAAAAAAAATAAGAATTGCTAATTATTAGTGTTGATGGCTACCTTTCAGTGATTCAGTGATTCCAAATACTATATATCACACTATATAATAAATGATAACATATTACATTGTATAGGCCATATGTATATTTACACATTACATTATATATTGCATTATAATATGTTACATGTACATTATAAATATAATGTAATATAGACCATATATATTTATATATTACATTATATGTATTATATATACATTGCATATAATTTAATTTTCGGCATGAATGTTGACTTGAAATCATCTGTTGAATTTTCCTTCCATGTATATCTTATGTCTTAAATGATGAATTCAAGTGCTTCAAGGGATTATATGTTATTTACCATTATTTTCATTATATACTACCATACTATCATCCGACTCAGCACAGTATGCATTATGTCAGTGAGCAAACACAATATTTATCTCCAGATAACTTTCTTTAGTTAAAACTGAAGTTTCTTTTTTGCATGGTCATTAACCAGAGCCAACTCCCAGAAAAAACTTTAAAATAGAGCAACTCTGCTTAAGGAAGATGCTAAGAATTATAATTAATGAATATACTCTAATCAGTATTGAGTACGTAACTGTGTTTCCGACATTGTATATATATTTTTTTTAATGTCGATTGAGTCACTGTTTACCCTCTGAACAAGACTCTCTTTCTCTCCCTGCTTTTGGGTGAGGCATGAGATATTAACTAAGTTGTCCGCAGTCATAAAGCCAAGAAATAGATGAGTCAGATTTGAAGCAGGAAAATTTTAGCTTAGTTTTGCCTCTTACTTACTGCAGTAGACTTGTAGTCCATCACTCATTAGCAGAAAAACGCTCAAGAATCATCTTGGTCCATGGAAGCCTGACCTAGCTATTTGACTTTGATTTCAGCCATGACCGTTTCTCCTCTGCTCACACTGCCTGTTATTCACAGTGCTCCCAGGTTACATAACCAACAATAAATCCTTTGCAGTTCTCTGTCCTTCCTTGGAACAGGCAGTCCATGCTTTGGAAACTTTGTGGTTCACCTCTGTAAACTCAACGCTGTATAATTAACTCCTGTACTCCACTTTCGATGCAGTTACACAACCGTGCCTTGGGGAGCCGGCATCAGTGTGGAATGTGAATGATAACTCGGCGGGAACCCCGAAGACGCAAAAGTCGGCTCGATGCTAAAGCACATTCCAAAAGAAATATTACGATCATGTCCTTTGGTCGTCCAAGCAATTCCACAAGAAAGAGGTAACTGTTTTCTCCATCCACCTACACGCTTTTGGACTGAATTTCTCTTTGCTCACTAAAGCACCTCTGGTATTTTTATGTTCAGTGCGTGCGTGCGTGCGTGCGTGTGTGTGTGTGTGTGTGTGTGTGTGTGTGTGTGTAAAAATTACAGAAAGGTGAAGAAGAAGAAGGCTAGGCAGAGATAGCCAACAGGGCCAGACTCTGAAGTCACTCTCGTTCAGGGATGACTAACTCTCTAATTGCGTCTCCAATGCTAATGTGAATTCGAGAGTCATCTGGGAGATTCGTTGCACAAAAATGCTGATCCCGTAGGTGGAAATCTAGAGAAGGGGGAAGTCTCCGAGAAGCTAAAAAAAAATTCAGTGATGATTCCAATGCTATTTGCGGAAGATGCTGATGAGCAAAGATCTAAATCCTTGCTACCAAAGTTCTTGAAAATTCCAATTACTTAGATGTCACCTGGGCTATTTTCAACCTTTTAAAGGAATGAATGTGAAAAAATGAGAAAACTAGGCAAATCTCGGGGAATTAAAAGATAACACATCAACATTTCCTTTAGTTTAAAGAGAAATGACCCAAGTCTTCCAGGTGCTTCTTTAGAATGTAAAGTCCGGGACAGCACAGGTGAAGTCGCTTCCCTCGCACACACGGACTCGGTCTGATCCCGAGCCCTGCACGGTCCTTTGAACATGGCAGGGTGCAGCCTAGATGTCCCTGAGCACCTCTGGGCGGCCTGGGTAACCCCTCCACACACCAGGGCCTGAGCAGCACAGCCCTCCTGGGCCCAGCTGGCTGATAGTCTCTGGGAGAAGCCTCTGGTCCTCTGAGCCCTTCTTGGGAGGCCCTCCACCCCCCAAAAGAAACAAGAACAAGCCAATAACAAGATTAGTAATTGGGGTGTTTCTCACCAGGGGGTGCTTGAATGAGCCTAGGAGAGACAGTAGTTGCCTGGATATTGGGGCAGCGGGGGCGGGGGGTGTTACTTCCTGTCTATGGGTTTAGAGACGACACATTCTCCCTGGGACTGGAGTAAACATTTCTCTGCTGTAGGTCAAATAAACTCGAGGACCCCTGAGTCAGATCCCAGGCATTTTTGCGAATATATTTATCTTAGGCCGAAGGGATGATGCATCTTGAACAGTAATGAGGTATTTATAGTATACTTAACATGTTCATGTATTTATGTTTTTAAGAGTTTCTGAAGAAATATTTAGAGAGCCCGGCAAGATACTGAGAGTATCCAGCCCGCATAGCAGAGCCTGGCAAGCTCCCCGTATTCAAAACGTATTCAATATGCCAAAAAACAGTAACAAGTCTCACAATGGAGACGTTACTGGTGCCCGCTCGAGCGAATTGATGAACAGTGCTACAGTGCTACTTTCCACTTCGGGCCTGGAAAGAGACACTCTCCTCCTGGCTCTGCAGGTCATGAGCTGAAACCAGAGGAAGTTGTTGGTTAACTCGGAGACGTTTGCATTGGCTGTAACATATAGAAAATGAAAGATCTGGCCGGTGAGTTTTAACCTCCTTTCACTGCTGAAAGTTTATAACACTAGCCCAGATTTAAGTTTATCGCCCCAACACTCAAATCATGCAAAAGGAAATAATAGCATACTTAGTTTTACGGCAGTGTCTACCAGATTCGTGAGTGATGAAGTATCTGAAAGGCACTGCTCAGGTATTCAGACATCTTCCTGCTTCTAGGGATACGTGCTCAAGAACTCTTGAAGAATAACTGGGAGTAGCTATGACAGAGATAGGGACAGCTCCCCCATCTGTCTGTAATGGGCTTCCAGAGGCAATTCCAAGACCCTGATGAGGCTGCAGCGAGAGTACAGTGGGGAGGGCACTTGCTTCTGCATCGCAGACCCTGGTTTGATCCCTGGCATTGCACAGGGTTCTCAGAGCCTGGCCAGTAGGGGTCCCTGAGCACAGCGGCAGTGAGTTCCTGAGTACCTCTGACCTTGACCCCCAGGCCCAACAAAATCCAAACCAAAAACTAAGACAAAGAGAAACAAGCAAATAAGGTAAAGTGAAAAGTACAATTTCCCCCTATCTATATGCAGCTTTTTTTTATCCTCTGCATTTAGCCAAAAATAGTGAAAGTTTTCTACAGTCCTTGACAAATTTACTGAGAAAATTTCTTATACTTGGATGTGGAAGAGTTAACTTCCTAACATTAGTAAATCAAATATTTGAAATGGAAAGAAGGAAGTTCATGTGAAGACTCTACATTCTGACCCATTTTTTTTTTTAATTCACAAACATATTCTAATGATGGTGCAATGAATTTTCTATCGCTGCAGTCATTTTAAATAGACATAAGCCTACTCTGAAATAAACTCTATGACCATATTTAAATGTACTTTGCTTTTATCTCTATCAGCAAAACCCAGATAACATTTCTCTAAGCTGATCTGCTCAGTAATATTAGTCTATAAAGTTTGCAGGTGATAAGATGCAAAGAATACCCGTCAAAAATTGTTTCCTTAATCAGATCTTTTGATTTTCAATAAAGAAATTTACGAAAAGGGAAAGATGTTTCAAATCTGCTAAA